GCTGCTGCTGCTGCTGCTGCTGCTGCTGCTGCTGCTGCTGCTGCTGCTGCTGCTGCTGCTGCGGCTGGTGCTGCTGCTGCGGCTGGTGCTGCTGCTGGTGCTGCTGCTGCTGCTGCTGCTGCTGCTGCTGGCCGCTGCATCCGATGCTGCGGTGAAGAGGCTTGGGCTCTGCCTCAGCAGCGCCGTGCAAAGAGGCCCGGCGCTTTGCTGCTGCCTGCCCAGCGAGCGTTGGCCCGAAGCAGCAGCAGCAGCAGCAGGAAGCGCAGCAAACTGAGCAGCAGCAGAGTGCTGCTGGTGCTGCTGCTGCTGCAGATCCGGCTGGAGGCCCGCAGCGGCATTGTGCCCGCGCGCATGCGCGGCGTGAGAGCCTCCAAAGCCCCCGTTGTTGTCATTCTCGACAGCCACATCGAAGTCAATGAGGGCTGGCTGGAGCCGCAGCTGCAGCGCATAAGAGAGTCTCCGAAGTCTTTTGTGTTTCCACAAACTCTGTCGATAGTTTCCACGGACTTCTCGCACACGAAGGACTCGGGCATAGGGTGGGACTCGGGGCCAGATGGAAAGCTTTGCATGCAGCAAATGCTTTTGCATGCAAAACTGCAAAGAATGCATGCAAAACTGCAAAGAATGCATGCAAAACTGCAAAGATTGCATGCAAAACTGAAAAGAATGCATGCAAAACTGCAAATAATTCCCAAGTTTCAAATTCAGAAACGCCAAAGGCTTCGAAAAATGCCACTTCGCAGCTGCAGCCTCCATTTGCCTTCAAGTTGTTTGACTTTTCATTTCTTCTTTTTCGAATTCTGCTGCTCACGCGAAGTCCACTGGCTTTTCCTTCCTCCCGTGCCTATACCCTCTCCTCTGCTGCTGCTGCTGCTGCTGCTGCTGCTGCTGCTGCTGCTGCTGCTGCAGCTGCACCGTTTCTTTTGACTGGAACGTGCAAGAGAAGTCCCAGGCGTCGGGCTTTTGGGGAACTACAGATGCCATTCCCTCGCCCATGCATGGGGGAGGTCTCGTGGCATTTCGAAAAGACACATTTTATGAAATTGGGGGGTGAGTTGCAAATTAGTTCCTCTTTATTTGCTCAATTGCTTCTTTTTCCCTTTTCAAGTTTTAAACTGCGTTGCTTTGCTTTGCTTCGTCTTTCTAATTTGCATTTGGCATTTCTTCGCATTTGTTGCTTCGGCTCTCTTCAAAACTTTCTTTTTGGTTGACTTTCTGCGCCAGTGATGGTTTGCTATTCTGAAACCGAGCTTAAATCCCGATTTCGCTGCTGCTGTTCTCCCTGCAAATCCCGCTGCTGCTGCTGCTGCTGCTGCTGCGTCTTTTGTTGCTGCTGCGTTGTTATTTCTGGACCATCGAGGCAGCTGCCTCGTTGCTGCAGGTGGCTGCAGCTGCTGCTGCCCTTTGCGGCTGGTGCTGCAGCACACTTTCATGAACTTTTTCTTTTTTATTCGCAGATACGATGAAGGGTTCAGTATGTGGGGAGCTGAGAACGTGGAACTGAGTTTCCGCATTTGGATGTGCGGCGCCAGACTTGAATGTGCTCCTTGTGCTGCTGTTTACCATATATTCAGATCGGTGAGCAGCTTTTTATTTCTTAAGTTATTATTTATTATAGTAAATATAATATGCTGCATTTATTGTTCATATTGTAGTTGTTGCTTCTGCTGCCACAGTTGCAGCTCCTGCTGCTCACACACTTGCTAGCCGCTGCTGCTACCACCCAGAGAGCTGCTGCTGCTGAGCCGTGGAAGCCTGCTGCTGCTGCTGCTGTTGCCAGGATTCGTTTCACTGAGCTGCTGCAGTCTGTGGCGCTGCAGCAACCTCAGAACTACTTTAGTTTCTAGAGCAGCAGCAGATCTCGCTTAAGTGACAGTGTTTAAGGACTTCAGGCCTCAAAGAAGTGCCAGTGATTACACCAATTAGGACTTTAATTGGAAAATGGTTTTGTTTCTGCTCCACATAGGGAGGCACTGGCTACCCTCTGCCCCCCGGCAGCGTGTGGAAGAACCGCGTGCGCACAGCTCAGCTGTGGATGGATGACTACTTCCCACTTGCTGCTGCTTTTAATTCATATCATTTGGCACATCCAGAGCCTGACTTGCCGGATATGACAAAGGTGAGACACACTTTGAGGAAAGCTGGCTTTTTTGCACTTCTTGCATCTTATTCTTCTGGTTCTGTGCTCTCGGAGCTCGAAAGGAGGCCAAGGGGTTGTTAAACATGCAAAAAGCGCAGCAACAGGCTCATATTCTCCCTTATTGGAAGAAAAGGAGAAACAGATGTTGAGTTTTTGAGAAAACAAATGTTGAGATTTTGCACAAGAGCCGGCTGGTGCGGCCTGCTTCACTTTTGCAGATGCAGGAGCTGAAGAAACGCCTGAACTGCAAGGACATGAAGTGGTTTCTGAAAAACGTGGACACTAAACATGAATTCCAAGACTTAGACACTGCACTAGCGGGCTTGGGGGACATAAAAAGCGAAAAATATCCTCATCTTTGCCTGGATTCTATGGGGGAAACGGACGTGGGCAAAAACGTGGGGCTTTACAACTGCCACGGCCAACTGGGCAACCAGGGCTTCCTACTGGTAAAGTAAGTTCAAGAAAAAATGCAAAAAGCAGTTTTTAATAAACATTCAAAGCTTACTTTTTGGTAATTCAGATAAGTTTGGCTTGCTGTCGTTTCATCGAGGGTATAGATGTTGTTGCTGCGCCTTTGATGTAGAAAACGGGAAAAGTTTTCTTCTGGGTTTGCGGCAAAAAAGTGACAGTTTTGTTTTTATTTCAAATGCGATGAGACTTAATTGGCTGTCTTTCACAGCTTGGTTAGTTTGTGCTGCATTTAGGTAAAGTTTACAGCCTTTGCTTCGTTTTTTTTGTTTCAACTTGGATTTCTTATCTTCCGCATTCGTGTTTGTGTGCCTTCTACTCAAAATGTTGTATTTTTGGTCTTGCAAAAGTATATTTCCAATTAGAAATAATTAACTGCTTGTTCTCACAATTCTTGAATTGCTGTTATGCCCTCCACTGCACTCCACACAACATGAATTGCTGCATAAGCAGAAGAGCACTTGTGCTACTTGATGAACAAATACCATTTCAAGAATAAAAACAAAACAATATTTGCAATAAATGGCACATAAGTACTGATGTATCCCATAGAATAGTTATTTAGAAGCAAAGAAGTCGAAGCAAAAGCAGTGGCAGCATTTCCTTTCAAAGGCAGCTGGAAGTTGCATCCCCAAGCTGCTTTTTTGAATGCCTTTGCTGCTGCTGCTTCATTCTCTTTAATAAAATGAATAAAATAATATTTATTTTGTTCTTTTGTTGCTGCTTTATCTCTTTTAATGCCTTTCTCAGCGAAAGCCACCACCTGCGGCTCATGGGCATTGGCAAAGTGTCGCGCAGCAGACTTTGCTTGACTCCTCCTGGGGTTTTGGAGAAATGCACAAAACCCGAAAAAGTTAATTTCATGGAATTCGACTCGGAAAATAAAACCATTAAATGGACTCAAGAGGGAGAATTCAAGAACCACTGCCTCACCATAGAACAGGCCAAACCTGATGTGAGCGCTGTGCGATTTTGCTGCTGCTTCTGCTGCTGCCGCTGCGGCTGCTGCTGCTGCTGCTGCCGTTGCTGCTGCTGTTTCTGTTCTTCTTTCGATTGCTGTTGCCGCCGCTGCTGCCGTTACTGATTTCCTTTACATCGCTGCTGCTGCCAGTGCTCTGACATACTTTTTGCTTCGCGCTGCTCTTGCTGCTGCTGCTGCCAGTGCTTTGACATTTTTGTTGCTTCGCGCTGCTCTTGCTGCTGCTGCTGCTGCTGGTGCTGCTGCTGCTGCTTTTCTGCACGGGCGCACACGGCTAGGCTCCGTGCATGCATGTATTTGTTTTTTTGCTGGCGCCACACGTTGGAATTTGCATGCAGATGTTGTTTGCATTCAAATATAATTATATTTTGTAAATCAAATGAATTAAATGAACATTTAATTGCGTTTAAGGGTGCAAAGACACAAAAAGGTATTTGCACGAGATCTGAACGCATGCATCCACTTGTGCAAGTGTTCACTCGAGGGGTTGCATGCATGCATGGGGGTTCATTTGGATCTATTTGAAGGCAATTTAATGAAAATAAATGCAAAAATAAGTCAATTTAAACAATTAAAAGCAAGTAATTGCGTTTTGAACTCAGGGAAAGCACGAGCTGGCCTGGCGGCCGTGCGCAGTGGGGGGCACCAGTCAGCAGCAGCAGCAGCAGCAGCAGCAGCAGCAGCAGCAGCAGCAGCAGCAGCAGCAGCAGCAGCAGCAGCAGTGGCGGTGGCCGCCTTTCCCGTCTTCCCTGTACTCCCCCCGGCAGTTCCAAAAGGACTTCAAAGAACTCCGGACTCTCGAAGAGGCCCGGGACTTCGCCACGGAAATCCGAAATGCAAAACACAAAAACTTCTGCTTAGATGCTTTGCAAAACCGCCAACACAACTCTCCACTCGGAGTCTTCTGGTGCCACGGCGCCCTCGGCACTCAGGGCTTTTCTTACCTTCCGTAAGCCCCCCAAGGGGCCCCCCAAGGGGCCCCCCAAGGGGCCCCCACAGGGGAGGGGGCCCCCTCAGCAGGGGGCCCCCACAGGAGGGGGCCCCCTCAGAAGGGGGCCCCCACAGGAGGGGGCTTTCACAGGAGGGGGCCCCCACAAGGGGCCCCCACAAGGGGCCCCCACAAGGGGCCCCCACAAGGGGCCCCCACTTGGGGGTCCTCCGTAAAGGGCCTCCACAACGGGGCCCTCACAAGGGGCCCTCACAGGGGAGGCCCCCCATAAGGGGCCCCCTCAAGGGGTCCCCATAGGAGGGGGCCCCCCTAAGGCGCCCCCCTAAGGGGCCCCCCTAAGGGGCCCCCACAAGGGGCCCCCCCAAGGGGCCCCCACAAGGGGCCTCCCCCTGTGGGGGCCCCCAGAAGGGGCCCCAGAGGGGGCCCCAGAAGGGGCCCCAGAAGGGTTGTTGCTGCTGAAGGAAAAGCACTTGGAATAAAAAGCAAAAGTAGATATCTGGTTAATTAAAATAAAAAAGTATATATCCGATTAATTAAAATAAAAAAGCAAAGTAGATATTTGATTAATTAAAATAAAAAACAAAGAATATATCTGGTTTTGTGTCTCAGAGAAAAAGGCCTCCTTTTGGCCCAAGCCAGAGGCAGCAATGAGGCCCCTTTGCTTTGTGTGGGGCCCCCCGGCAGCCTCTACTCCTGTACAGACACCCCAAAGGCAGCAGGAATCTACATTACTCCTTCAGGCCAAATCAAGTGGCGCTCGGGGGGCCCCCAAGGGGCCCCTGGGGGCCCCCAAGGGGCCCCTGGGGGCCCCCAAGGGGCCCCTGGGGGCCCCCCAGGGGCCCCTGGGGAGCAGCAGCTGCCCCGGGGGGCCCCTGCAAGTGGAGCAGCAGCGGCTGAAGAGGGGCCCCAGGGGGGCCCCCAGGGGGTCCCCCAGGGGGCCCCTCTTGCTGCAGAGGAGGACTTGTGCCTTACTGTGGTGATGGCTCCAAACATTCCAATTTCTAAGGTGAGGCAAAAGGGGGTTTAGAAGCACAAGTATGAATAAAAATAAAAATAAAAATAAAAATATAAATATAAATATAAATATAAATAAATAAGTAAATAAATAAATAAATAAATGGCTATATATAGATAATAGATGGTCCGGGTTTCAAAAGCAGGTGTACAGACAGACACTCTGGAAAAGAAGCAAAAAGTGGAAATTGAAAAAAATTAAAATAATTAAAAGAAAATTAAAGTAATTAAAAGAAAATTAAAATAATTAAAAGAAAATTAAAATAATTAAAAGAAAATTAAAATAATTAAAAGAAAATTAAAATAATTAAAAGTTGAAACAAAATAGAACAGCTGTGGGGCCTCTGCATGCATTATATGAAGAACTAAACTGCACCAAATACTAACTGATGCACTATTGCTGCGCTGCTGCTGTGCTGCTGCTGCGCTGCTGCTGCGCTGCTGCTGCGCTGCTGCTGTGCTGCTGCTGTGCTGCTGCTGTGCTGCTGCAACTATGCTGCTGTGCTGCTGCTGTGCTGCTGCTACAACGCTGCTGTGCTGCTGCTGTACTGCTGCCGCTATGCTGCTGTGCTGCTGCTGTGCTGCTGCTATGCTGCTGCTACTATGCTGCTGTGCTGCTGCTGTGCTGCTGCTATGCTGCTGCTACTATGCTGCTGACGACGTGCTGTGCTGCTGCTACTATGCTGCTGTGCTGCTGCTATGCTGCTGCTGTGCTGCTGCTACTGTGCTGCTGTGCTGCTGCTGTGCTGCTGCTGTGCTGCTACTATGCTGCTGTGCTGCTGCTGCTATGCTGCTGTGCTGCTGCTACTATGCTGCTGCTGTGCTGCTGCTACTATGCTGCTGTGCTGCTGCTGTGCTGCTGCTGTGCTGCTACTATGCTGCTGTGCTGCTGCTGCTATGCTGCTGTGCTGCTGCTACT